ATCACTGACAACAACAGAATTATATTGATTTTTGTTTACTACTAAATCCTGGCATCTAGCAAGGTGCCTGGCACACATAGAAACCCGATATTCATGAAATGAAGGAATAAATGCCAGAATAAATGACTGTGGAAGCTGCTATTAATCAAGTTTACAAACGAGGAAATTGAGGCTCAGAAATGTTAAATCATTTGTCCAAGGTCACCCAGTGGCAAAGCTATAGTTTTTGAAAATTTTTTTTAAAGAAGTACCATTGTTTTATATCCTTGTTAATATTTTGACAGTACAGATCTCCCCCCTCAGGTGTGGTCACCATAGCTCTCCCACCACCAAGGTACCCACAGTCCTCCACCACTGTCCACTGTGCTCTCGCCTTCCCTCCCCCTCTGGATGCTGCAGATCTATGGTCAGCTTTCAAGGGTTGATTTCAATGTTTGTCTTTGACCCAAAGCTATTATCTTAACTATGGTCCCTGGGCCTCCTCTTAATCCCTCCACCATATTTTCTTTTTTTTTTTTTAAGTAGCTTTTCTTGTTTTCTTTTCTTTTTTTTTTAAAGATTCACCCATTTATACAAGAACCAGGGTACAGGCCAGATGCATGGGAGGGTGAGAGGATTCACCAGAGACAGAGCGGGGAACAGAACAGGCAGACTGACAAAATACACGGCTGAGGGGAGCAGCGGGTGAGACAGGAGAGGTCTGCTGTGCCATGTGGGATTCTCCCTGGCCGGCCGGGATTGAACCCGCGCTGCAGAGGCTGCAGACAGCTTCACAGTGCGGAGCTCAACTGCCTGCGCCACCAGAGAGACTCCACCATGTTTTCTAACTTCCTCTTCCCTGCTACTTTCCCAGCCATGGATGGAAAGCAGAATACACCCCAGTAAAGTTTTTTTTTTAAGATTTCATCTTTTTCTTTTTTAAAAAAAATTATTTATGTGTAGAAGAACTGGGGTGTAGACTATAGTGCAGGGGGGGGTGAGAGGATTCACCAGAGACAAAGTAGGGATTAGAACAGGCAGATTTACTAAAATACACTGCTAAGGGGAGCAGTGGGTGAATCAGGAGCGGTCTGCCATAGGTTAGCTCCCTGGCCGGGGATGGAACTCAGGCCACAGTGGTGATAGAGCTGAGATTTAACCTCTAGGCCACAGGGAGGCCCCCCAGTAAGTTTTTATGGTAGGATTTCCTGGGATCTCCAGGATATCTGTCTAATGAACCCTCAAAGCTACTTCCCATCAATATTTCTAGGAGAGCCTAGACAGAGTGATTCTGTCTGTCTGTCTGCCTCTTTCTACATACACTTTTTTTTCAATTTCTGAATCTTATAAATAATAAGACCAAATGGAAGAAAATTCAGAAAAGGAAAAAAATTAGATAAATTGAGGGGCCCATGCTAGTGGACAAAACTATATGTGATGAGGGACTCCATACAAGCTTATGCGGTACACAGTTCCGGTGGCATGCTTCCTGGTAGCCAATATAAAATGAGAAACAACATCAGTTACATGACATATTCTGAAGATTAAAAAAATTTAATCAATTGGCAAGAGAAGCACAACTATTCCTGTTTCTAAATCCTGAGAGAAATTCCTCTTGTGAGTCCTTTTAATGAAAGCATGGTAGGACATAGTAATCAGTATTCTAAACTATACCCTTACAAATAAATATATCAGCATTCTAAACTACACCCTTATAAATAAATATATCAAGCTTCATAGAATGGTCTTAGAGCATACTTCTTTCTTAACCTTAAAAAAAATTATCTTTAAATTCTTCCATCACAACATTTCACTTTTCCTTCTTTCTACCTCTACTTTTCTACCCTCCTCTTCATGGAGGTGAGGTATTAAGCTGCAAGCAGGAGCCCCTAGCACTACTTAATAGTTATGGCTGGTATAATGTCAAAATCCAAGCAGCACTATATTGTTTATTCAAATCTTGGCCTCTGGACCAGTGATATCAGCCTCACCTAGGAGCTCATTAGGAATGCAGACTCTCAGGCCCAACCCCAGTCCCGCTGAGTCAAAATCTGTTTTATTAACAAGATCTGCAGGTGATTCCTATGAAGTTTAAAGAAGGACTGGTTCTACTAATGTGTAAGAAACACTGGTCTAATGGCTAAGCGTGCGGTCAGGAAAAATGTATAAAAAAAACTAGTATTCAACAAATATTTAATGAGACACTGATGGTAAGAAAATATGTTTAAAATGTGATACCAAAAGCAACACTATCAAGAGAAATACCGATAAGCAGAACGTTAAAAGTGAGTGAGGAAGCCAGCCAGAGAGTAGACAGTATTTGTACCACCACCAAAAAAGGAAAGCTGAGTACCTGTGTGCCAGGCACTGTCTTAAGGCCGGGGATCCAGCCATGAAACAAAAACTCTGTCCTTTTGTGGAGCTTACATTCAAACTGGTGAAGACAGTAGACAAAATAAATAAAATGAAACAAGAAAGGGGCAGAAGTGGGGGTTGCAATTTGAAATAGGGTGCTCAGGTAAGGCCTCACTGAGCAAAGGATGACCTGGACAAGGTCAGGGAACTAGCTATAAAAATAGCCAGGGGGCAAGTATTCCTAGCAGAGGGGACAGTGTATACAAGCACCCCGAGACAGTAGAATGCCTGAAACAGCAAGGCCAGTATGGTTGAAGCAGAAAGAACAAGAAGTGGAGTGGTACGTAGGGGGCCGATCATGTGGGGCTTTGTCGGCCATTTTAAGTATCTGAGCTTTAACTGTGAGTGAGATGTGAAGCAATGAAAAAATAGGTAATAGGGAGCCATGGCAGGGTGTTGATCAGGGAAATAAACAATAAAACGTGTTTTTAAGAAGACTGGTTTCTCAGAGGGAGGAGTAGCTCGAGTAGGACAATCCAGCTCTGAGTATATTGCACTAATCCCAGTAAATGGTGATTCATTCATTCAACTATTTATTAGGTGCCAGAGCAGTGTGCCAAGTAGAATGGGAAGATCTAGACTGGGGTGATAAGTGAGAGAACTGACAGAGAAAAGTGAATACAAATGACATTGGAGGGAAAGAAACCCAGGACATAATGAGATTATTTATAGAGAAATGACAGAAGTTGGCAATTCAATTTAATTAAGGTTTATGTATCATCTACCGAGGGCAAAGCCATATGCTGGTTAGGACGTGGGGCTGGTGCAAAAGACACGTTCTTTCCCCTCCAAGGGCTTCCAGCCTGACTGGCTTGGCTCCTGCCCTGCATCTTTCAAGCCTAAACTTCCTGGGTTGCTTCAGCTGTGGCTGGCACGGAGACTAGGGGAGCTGCTCAGGTTACAAGCTTTTTTTAATTTTTTAACCCTTGGAATGTGTTCTTCCTCCCAGGAGCTGGGGCCAAAGTACCTCAAGTTGATTAGTACAAAAAGACAGATCTGATTTGGCAGGAGGGCAGACGAAAGGTCTTAATAAAATGGCTTTGTGCTACAGACTGGCCCTGAGTCAGCCATCTGGGGGCAAAATCCTTCCAGTGGGTTTCCACCTGTGTGACCTGATAGGCCTCCCACCCTTTGCCAGATCATTCTGGAGAAAAGGCCCCAGGCACCGAAAGGGAAGGATGCAAGTTTTAGGAAAACAATGGGGGGGGGGGTATTAAAAGAATTTCCAAGTTGCCTGCCCACCAGACTGCAAGGTCTTAGAAACAAATGCAAATATGATGCAAATAATATGTAAATAGCCCTGTGGCCTTCTAAAAGGTTTTCTACAACTGGCAGGGCCCTTGGGAAACTGCTAGCAGTAACAGTGACTCAGAGGCAGCGTGAACTATTTCAAGACAACTTTGTCACACAGACCTTTGCTGCCCTGTTAGCACAGAGCACATTCTTCAGTCATCTTTTTTCTCACTTGAATCAACCTCACCTGCTATAAATCAAAAAAAAATCAAGTCTGCCTCTGTAGAGGTTATCTAAGTTAATTACATTTCTAAAACACTGTGTACCTTTAATTTTTCTTCAAACGCTTCTCTCAGCCAAATAAAGCCGAGTTAAATGTGTCACTTCCTCCCTAGAACAATATTTGGCTCCAGCGGTTTATGAATGAAAGTGCCTCTCTTTCAGTTCTAGTTACTATGATCCTTTGGAGGATTTTTTTCCCCCTTACTCCACAGGAACTGGCACATTCTCTTCTAATAGACACACACTGTATTCAAAGCGAATCCAGAAAAAAAAACAACTCATAAATATAGTTGTGAAATCCAATACACTGCCAAGAGTAGCTGGAAAGCGATTAAGAAAAGCTGGCCTGCCTAGAATGCTGTCGTCTTGACAATCCTACCTACGCATTTTAAATGAAAAATGCATATCCGACCACAATGGGGTATAGTTCCGTCTACATTTATGCATTTGAAAGGCAATGCCCCAGCAGATATGCATTTTATAAGATCCATCTTGAACCGAATAGTAAACAACATGGCAAGCCCCGGGCGGGGGGGGGGGGGGGGGGCAGGGTGGGGGGGGTGTGGGGGAGCAAGTTCTTCGGAGTTACATACAGACCCAGGGGAGCAGAAGCAACTTACCTCCACATTAGCGATGGAGAAACAAGGATTAACATAATCAGCCCCCCAAACTTCCATTACTTTTCTTGTACGCTAATCATTCGAGGGTGCTTCAGCTTTTGACGGGAGCGTCAAAGGAAGGGAAATCCCTTTCATTTTCAAGGCGTTTTATCTTACTTGCAAGGGCCACACTCAGCCTCCAGAAGGCTACTGGACAGAGTGGCATCTGGGAGATAGCACGTTCAGCGTACAACACGAACAAAGCGCAAAGCAGCGAAATCCCAACAAATGAAAGACTGAAAAGAGGGGGTGGGGAGACGGACAAAAGCGAGAGATGCACCTCAAGAGACCGTGGCAATGACAGCGCCATTTAGAGAGTACCCTACAGATGGAGACTGTCCTGGGGCAACCGCCCGGACCCCGAGTCCCGGCAGGGCGCTGGGCAGGGCCGGGAAGGCGGCGAGCGCCCCCGCGCGGCCGGGGCTGCCTTACCTCCTGGGCGAGCTTCTGCTTGAGCACCAGCGCGGCGCACAGGTAGCCCGCGCGGCCCACGAACAGCTCGTCGGAGCCGCACTCCAGGAAGGAGACGGGCGCGCAGACGGCGCACAGAGCGCGGAACTTGCCCAGCGGCTGCACGTAGTCGGACCGGCCCAGGGCGTGGTACACGAGCGTGGCCACGGCGTACACGCCCCGCGCCCCCGAGCAGGAAAGCGGCGCGGGTGTCGGCGTCCTGCTCGCCCCACTCCTCGGCGCGGGCGCACGCGTCTATGAGGCGCTTGGCCGAGCGCAGGTAGCGCTCCCGGGCCCCGGCAAAGAGCGGGCTCTGCGAGACGTGGTACAGCATATAGGCCACCCCGGCCACGCCGCCGTACAGCCCGCCCTGGCAGCTGCTGGTCGCCGCCGCCGCCCCCGGGCTTCGGAGCCGCCCCCGAGCGGGGGCAGCTCCTGGAGGATGCGCTCGATGGTGGCGGTGACCAAGGGCGCCACCGCCTCCTCGCACTGGCCCACCAGCAGGCTGCCCTGGTAGTCATCGAAGCGGTTGGCGAAGCAGCGCTTGGTGTCCATGCTGCCGCTGGTGCCCCCCAAGGCGAGCCGGGGTCCGCTGGAGGGCGCGCCCTGCAGCCCCGCGCGCCACTTCTCGCTGTCTGAAGCGCTCGGCTGGCTGTGGATGCGGCGGGGATGGAGCGCGGCGACTGAGACGGGAGGTGACAAGAGGAGGCGGGCGCGAGGAAGAAGCAGGGAGCGGATTGCCAAGTGGGGCACCGGGCTGGCGCGAGGCTCCCGAGTGGCCCCAGCGAGCGCGGGGGATGCGCGACGTCCGCCCCCCTCCCAGAGGCCGCGCCCTCGCCGAACCCGCCCCCTCCTGCGCCGCCGCAGCTCGGCCGCCTCTCCCTGGGGCCGAGGTGATCCTCCCGCAGGACCCACGCGGGGCCCGCGCCACTCCTCCCGCTCCGCCCCCGGCTCCGCCCCTCCCGGCGGCAGGCCAGGGACGTGTGGGACTCCGAGCCGGAGCGCCGAGGCCGGGCAGGCGTACACCTGGCGCTGGAGGTGACGACCTCGAGTCCCTGGCGGACTCCAAAGTGTGGTCCTCGAGTCAGCAGTCACAGCCTGCCCGGAGAGCCCGGTGCCCGGGCCGCAGCCCAGGCTTCGCCCCAGGCCTTTTGAATCAAAAAATCTGCATAATTAGCAAGATCCCCAGGTGATTCGCGTGCACAATAAAGGTTGCGACGCCACTGAGCTAGGCTAGAAAAACGGAGCGCCGTCCCGAAACTTGTTTGTCTTCGTCTTGACCACTTTGCAGTTCTTTCTGAGTCTTTGAATCCAAAGAGGGGTTGAGTTCACCGGCGTTGCCTGCACTAAAACGGAGAAATGCCCCTAGGGAAACTTTGTCTTGGCGTACACGGGAGTAAAACTTCAAAGAGCCACGCCAGGTTAAGGTAAGGAATGGGGGTTGGGGGTGTCATTCTCCTGCCCGAGACACCACCTCACCCCATGTAGGCATAGTGAAGGCCCTAAAAATATGCTAAGGTCACTCGCTACAACAGTTAAGACGAGGGTAAACGCGTAGAATTTTAGTGAGGTGTTTTGGACATTTTCTGTGTGTCGTTAGTTACCGCCTCCTCCCGCCCCTTGTGTCTTCTGCTTTCCTTCCACAGAATAGGTGTCCTGGACTCTGGAGCTAGATGGGTGAACAAAACAGACGTAGTCCTAGACCTCTTGGAGTGTACAACCCAGTGGGAAAGACAACACAGATTAGTTGCCTTTTTTTGGCTCAGCTGTTTTCAAATAATTCTGCCTCTCCCAAAGGGTTGACCACTGAAGGCCAAATAGGTTACCTCTCCCAGAGGTGTTTACATTTTGATAGGGTCTGTATAAGACACAAAAGAGTAAGTGATTGGTGGAAAATATTCTCACACTTTGTGGGGAGAGCAACTTACGTGGAAGGCCAGTTTTGTTTGGAGGCAGTTTTCTTCCTCAAAAGTGTTTGTTGTCACAATGATTTGCAAGCAGATGCCCTTCCTTGCTGCATTTTGGAAAAGAAGCTCAGTTTGCCAAGATTATTGGCAGGACCTAGTGGTAAGGCCACCTTTCCCCTATAATGTTGCCCAAACAGGTTTCGTTTTCATTATAATTAATGAAAAAGCTAAGTTCACTTTAGGCCAGAACTTGATGGATTGAGGGTATCACAGGAGCAAGTGGAATGTTTAGTTTTCACATGGGACATCTTCCTCATCCCTCAGTCACAGGCATCAGGAGTGATTATTGTCCATTTAGATGAGGAGACATAAAATGCAGACCTCACGGGCAGAAAGGACACCTTTTTCTGCTTCATTTCTGGGCAGTTCGCCCCTTCTGTGACTCTAGAGGCAACTCTAATTCCTGACTAATTTCCTTCCCCATAGCACCAGTACCACCACCCAGGACCTGTGCTGACTGACTTCACAATAGAACGGTAAGTAGGTCTCCCAGAGAAGGCGCACTGCCTTTTCTCCCTTGGGTCACCCTTCTGTTGCCTCAGAATGCTGCGTAACAAGTTACCCCAGGATCTTGTAGCATATAATTATGGGTTTATGGCTGGGGCATCTGGGATCCTGGCTGGGCTCGATCGTGCGTCTTGGAGTGGGTTGACTGTTGCTTGGGGGAACTGGGCTCTGGCGACACGTCTCTCATCCTCAGTAGGCTAAGCCCAGTGTGCTTGCTCGGGAGTGGTGGAGGAGCAGGAGCATAAATGGCCACATGCAATGCCGTCTTTAGGTCTAGTCTTAAAACTGACAAACTTTTAGACGAGAATGTGATTCTATTGGCAAAATGCATGAAGAAATAGAGGGTGTCTTTACGGAACTCCTAAGTTACATGACAAAAGGTGTGTGTAGAGGGAAGGGTAAAGTCATGGGCATCCTAGAGGTTTCTTCTGGACAGTATGCCAACATGTAGAGCAAAGATCACAAGATGAAGGTCAAACAGCAGGATTTGGGAGAAGAGGTTATGGTATCCAGCAGCCCTCTTAAACTCACAGGACATGATCGCTTTCACCTGTAAAATTCTTTCACAAACACCTCATCATTTTGTTGCACAATCACCTGGCAAAACCTCAGCCCAGAACATCCTTCGGGGTAGAGCTAGATATTTAGGTCATGTGCTTTCAATTAATTGTCATTTACTGAATTCACAAGCAGTGTGATTTATTTTAACACCACTCTACTAGAATACATGCTCCTGGAGGGTAGGGTGTAGCAGCAGAATGGGCACAGAGCAGGTTCTCTGTGACCTGAGCAGACAGGTGAAGGTGGAGTCCTGGCACCCTCAGTGGCTTTTTCAGGCTTTTATTGGGATTTTACCAGGTATGTGGCAGGCAGGGATGCCTGGAGGGGGGTGTCAGGAGGCCAGTAGGCCTCACAGCCCCCTGAGAATCTTCTTCCTGGGCTCTCCAGAGTTCTTTTGTTCCATTCCACTCTCTCGCTTGTTCTCATTCTCTCTCTTCTGCGTCTCTTTCATTCTGGTTCTCTTCTGGTGATTCTATTCTGTGACGCAGCCCTTATAAGCCCAGGTGAACCCACCTATGCATGCCCACACCCTACTCCAGGTGTCCACCATCGGGCATGCATTTAATCTAATGCAGGAGGGCGGAAAAGTCTGATACTTTTTACTTACCCTACATAAGGCATTTTGTCACGTTTACTGACTGATAAGCACCAAAGGTCTAGAACAATCCCTGCACACATAGTAGGGAACTACTGAAACTGTGAAATGATAGATCAATTGCCATAAGAGCACCATTAGCAAGGTTACCTGGGATGTAGAATGCAGTGTGTGAGGCCTTTACTGAAATTTTAACTAGACTTGATTAAACTCTCACTGTTTCCTTGGATCCCTTTTGGTCTTGTGAATGCATAAATGTAAACATTTTGCAGCTTCACCTCCACAGTCTGGTGACCTCTATACTTTACCTTGAATTCAGTGACTTCACACATTCTATTTTTACTAACCTTGTGTGGCAGATTATATTTTCCAAATATGGCCCCAACAATATCTTGTATGCCACGTGCTCCTCTACAATGTGACGTTGACATCTTTCTTATCAGGAGGTGATGTATGTGTCCCTCTTTTTGAATCCAAGTGGACTTATAGTTTACTTGTAACCAATAGAATGCGATTAAGAGGCCATAACACAATACCCAAAGCTAGGTCATTAAAAAATCATGACACAGCTACCATTTTACCTGCTGGAGCACTCATATTTCCAGCCTTGGCATCCTTGTAAGAATTTGACTACCCTGAGGCTGTCATACTGTCATAGTGTGAGGACGCAGACAGCATGAAGAGTTCTCTTACAGGAGTCTGGTCAACAGCCCACCTGAGAGCATTAATGGACAGCCATGGCAGTGACCACCTTGGATATACAGCCCAGTTGAAGCTTCAGATGACTGTAGATTTATGAGAACTGCAATCCTAATCCCTTCCAGAATTCCTGATCCACAATGAGTAAAATAAGGTGGTTGTTTTAGCCAGGAAGTTGTAGGGTAATTTACTATGCAGCAATGGGAACTAGACTACCCTGCTAACGTCCCATCATCCAGTGCCATGAAGTCCCCTGAAATCAGTAGTGCTCACTTAATGCAACAAGCATTCAGGGAGAGGTATATTAGAGCAATCTGGATAAGGAGACAGGAAGTATGCAGACACGCAGAAAGTGGGGTTCTAAAATTATAGTTCTAGTAGGATTTTTTTTTTAAGATTTATCTTATTTTATCTATACAAGAACTGGGCACAGCCAGAAGCGCGGGAGGATGAGAGGACCCACCAGAGCGGGGAGCAGAACAGGCAGACTGATGAAACACACTGCTGAGGGGAGCAGTGGGCGGCAGGAGAGGTCCGCACGCCATGTGGGACCCTCACCCGGCGGCCGGGGATCAAATCGGCGCTGCAGAGGCTGCGGGCAGCCCAGCAACCCAGCACTCAACCGCTGCGCCACCGGGAAGGCCCTTTAGTTGGATTCTTTAGAAGTAACAATGACCCCACAAGAAATATGCAGCCTATACAACATCTTGCTAAAGTCATTTATTTTGCCCTTATCTGCAAGATTTGTCCTGATATTTACAGAATCTCTAGCAGCATTTGCTGACAGGCAGCTCCCAACACATGGTTTCTGTGATCTTGCTGAATGGTTCTTCCTCAGTGCTTCCTTTTTATGCAGATTATGCAAAACTCTGGATGGAAAATAGTTTTAGTGGGTTCATCAAGGAAATCACATAAAAATTATGCAAAGCTATCCAGGAAAAACATTAAAATCAAAAGGTTCCTCTTATGCAAATCATTGCTATCTAAGGGTGAATATGGAAAAAAAAAAGCTAATCATATAACTGTCGAACCTTAACATTTAAGGTTTAGTACATTTAATGGAATAAACTGTCTTAAAAATACTTTCAAAGTTTTCCAAAGTTTTGCTTAAATATGAGTTCTGGAATTGGCTTAGATAGCTGAATGCATGATATGCCCAGTCCTTGTAGCACATTCTCCTTGGGAATGCACCTTGAATTTATTACTTTAGAGATCTACTTAATGTTTTTATAATTGAGATAATATTGGCTTATTATGTTGTTTTGTTTTAGAGGTATAAGATCTCCTTCAGGTATTGTTACCATACCATTCCCACCACCAAAGGACCTGTAGTCCTCCACCATAGTCCATTGAGTTCCCATCCTACTTTCTTCTTGCTTCTCCCTTCCCTTTGCTGTTTTGGTAACCTCAGTTGTACAGTCATCTCTAG